TAATTAGTAAACATTGTAGGCTATCTTTTGTTAATGGTGAACATAGATTTGATCTTACGAGGATGAAAGAAAAATGTTAAATGTTTTGAAAGACTTGTAATACACTTTCTCTAATGCAAACATAGGTTATACGCATTCTTTCAAATAATGTTGGAGATGACGTATTTCTGATAGTGAATACACACACACACACAGACTTTTACCTAATAATGGTTTAGATATACTTATAATTCCCTGATGAAACACGTAAAACAATGATCAAATTCTTTAAGATAGTAAATTTAAAACAACTGTAATAACCAGGTACATTAGAACTAAATATTATAATTCTTATTGAAATATTACTAATTAGGGTTTGTGTTTCTTTTTTACAGAATATGCTCCATTCAGGAAAGAATATGCCAGCTGTCCAAAGTTTTCTATGGTTTAAAGAACCAACCAAAAACTCCTGGAGAAAATACTTCTTTAGGCTTGAAGATAACATTCTAAGGTTCTTCCCTGTTTTTGATAGAAAGGTTGTAACGTCTTTAAATACACCTTTTAATGAACTGTATATTAAGATATTACATTGATAAAAATTGTTTTGTATAAAATTCTGTAGATTAATTTCTTTTTTTCTGTGTGTGTGTGTGTGTTAAATCTCTTGTTTCAAAGTTCTGAAAGAGCTAAGAGCATTTATTTTCCGAAAATGTTTTCCTTGATTAAGTAAATTTTTCTTAGTTAGTAGTAGCTCTGCCAATATTTTAAACTTAATTTAATCCTAGACTTGTTAATAACAACAAAAATCCATAAGTGATTCAGCTGGTTCTCAGAAGTTCGTTTTAAACCAAGATTAATATGAAATCAAATCTGCCATGAACTGAGCCAGTTTTAATTGCCTTAATTTAAACTTATATCAATCTTTCACTCATATGTTTTAAGAAATACTGGAGGTTTCTTCCCTAATTATACAGTAAATTATAAGGACTCGGTTCGGTTGTGGAACGTGTGAAAACGATTGAGATCCCTATATATGTAAAAATCTTGTAATTTGATGTCAACCAAAATTTGGAACAAACTTTTCTCAGTTATTATATAGATATAAAATATCTCATTAATATAACATTAGTTCATCAAGTTTGACACCCTTGGGCATTTTGTTGTACTTATGTTGCTTTACAAGCATCTATCCATACACTAAAATGCTTAAAATAGATAAGCAAGGAGGGAACCTGGTCAGTGTTTGAACAAGTGGCCTTAATTTACATATTTTCATGTTGTGGCAGCATATGATTGTTTTTCATGAATACTGAACTTAATTACTTTTGAAAATTTAGAGCAATCCTAGGTTTTAGTGACAGAATTCATTATGATTTTATGGAGTTAAAAAATTACCGAACTCTCTATTTTATCTCTTCCTCTGTAGAAACCAAAACAAATGTATCCTCTGTTAGACCTACAAAACTGTGATATTTTTTTACCAATTGAGGAAAAGTTTCATGGAGCTCCTACAAAGTTCTATTTTTGTTTAAAGGTTAGTATTGTTGTTTTTCAGATACTAGTTTCTGATTTATTAGGTTGAAGTGATTTTAAAGTAAGGAATCATAATTACTTTCCTCTTGCAAAATAAAATATTTATGGATAAAAACTGTTCCATAATACATTGAAAAAACCTATTTTCATTTCATTTTTAGCCAAAAAGAAATCTTGAAAGATCAGCAAGTGTGCTAAGATGGTTTTGTTGTGCAAGTGAGAAAGTACAACAGTGCTGGATTGTTGCACTACGATTAGCAAAGGTGACGTACGACATTCTTTACGTGTACATTTACGATGGGTCTGTTCTGGTTTTTGTTGTCATTATTATTCTAAAGGATTAGAAAATATCAAATGAATTTATTTGAAGTGCTGATGATCTCAAAAGATCATGCAGCATTAAAACATTTGTATTTACCTTCAACAATTACTACATTTATCAGACAAAAAAATTCCAATCAAAATAGTGCCCTTAAAGCTCAGAATCGATGATTTCTGGCAATTAAAGTCATGTAATAAATATGACCAAGCATGGCTTTAAGATTAGTGACAGACTGTGGATCTGAGGGTCCCATTGCTTCAAAATAAAAGATAAAAAAAAAATTTGCTCCACTCTTTGAGGCTATTGGTACTCTATAATATTTGTCCAATCCCGTTATTCAAATAAATTAGCCCAAGAGTTGGTAACGGATGCTAGTGACTTCCCTCTAGTTTATCATATTACTTCAAATTAGCCATTATTTGAAACATGGGATATTATGGGAATTTGTAAGTTCTTTTATGAGCGTTTGTAAACAAATGTAAAATTCTTGTTGTGAATCGTATTTCTAGTATGCACCCTATACTAGTTTATAAAAATACATAATAATAACTCATTTGATAAATATTTCTTTACTATTATCATTCATTTATTACATGTAGAAATACGAAAATCTTTAAAACAATATCTGAACTTTCCTTTTTTTTTCATTGTTCCATTTTAGAATGAAAGGTTTTGGAGATTAAACTTGACAGAAGATAAATCTTTTGTTATCTTAAGATGCACATTTATATATATACATGTATTTGCTATTGTTCAAAGGCAAATTTATACACAACTAACAAATATAATTAATTTGAAATAAACTAATATCAGCTTTAGATGTAAGTTGAATACTTGATTGTATTTCAAAATTATCGAAATCTACAAACTAAATGGTTGCTCTCAAACATACTCAGGATTACATTTATGTTTGCTGTTTTATTAATTTGTTTGTTTCCATTCCTCAACCTAAACTATTCTATTTCTACTAGTTTGGGAAGAAGTTGGTAGATAATTACAGAGAAGTCAAGTCAAGAAACAACTTTTTTGATAATTCCTCTCTCTATCAAAGTAAAATACAACAACACAGTGATATAAATTTCGTAAGTTGTAAAACTTTGCATTTTTATTTATTTTTACCATTTTGTATCGCATTTTTTACTGAGGTATCATGTATTAAATGTTTTTAGGTAAGCCGAGTTGTATGGCATCTTATTGTGGTGATGTTCGTAGTTTATAGTCTGTTATAATACTAATATTTTGCAATAGATCTATGAACCTATCTTTTAAAATATCGCATGAAGCATAAAACTTTTAATTCTGTCACTTGGACATGTATACTGTAATTACTCTAAAGTACCTATAGCCTTGAAATTTCAGTGGTGTTTTATAAAGAAGGCGTTTTCCACCCAGAAACTGGTTCGCTCTTATTTGGACACTTATTGAGCAGCTCACCCTATAATAGTGCGTGTTGTATTAACAGGTTAATGGTTGAGTAATAATTGTTAATTAGTGATTTTATGAGTTAGAATATCCAGTTGTATTAGTAGGATGTTCCACGGCTATCATCATATCCGATCTATTTCATTAAATCTTTGTCTCATTCCTGTGTTT